TGGCTTCTGGTAATCACCCTCTTCATTTCTAAGAGCGTACAAACCTATTGCTTGATGATCTTTTCTAGGATTTTCTGAGGTATTGATGTCAAGCTGATTGATCTGTAGTTTCCTGGGTCCACTTTTTTCCTCTTTTAAAAAAAAAAATTGGGACATTGTTGGCTCTTTTCCAGTATTCCGGCACTTCTCCTGTGCTCCAGGATTTCTCAAAGATTTTAGTCAGTGGCTCTGAGATGACATTCACCTTTAACACCTTGGGATGTAATTAATCTGGTCCAGGAAACTTGAATTCATTCAGAGCAACAGGGATGAATTCCTTACCCATTTTTATATGAATTTCCCTTCTGCTCACCAGAGTGACACTTTGGACAAATTAGACTGCTATTTTCTTCTATGAAAAGACAGATGCAAGGTAGGAATTAAGTAGATCAACTTTCTCCCTGCTCCCCATTGCTATTTTGCCATCTTCTCCAACCAGTAAGCCGCCCATTTCCTTGTTGTTCCAGATCCCCAAATAACCCCTTTTTTAAAAATAATATTTGTATTAAAGTTTTACACAGATAAAAGCTAATACAGAACTTAAAAAGACATACAAACAAAAAAGAAAAAAGAAAAAGAGAAAAGAGAAAGACATATAAAAAGTGACTCCCCTGTCTCCAAACAAGTATAAACATTTGCAGTAACTTAACATCTTCTCTAGTATTACAGAAAAATCTCTTCTTCCCATTTCATACCCCGTAACAATAGCTAAATTATTTTAAAAAATCATCAATCTTACTCAGCAAAAGCATTACGAGTACCAGTAATAAACTATATGTTTTAACCTTAAACAAGTAAGTCCGTAAACAAATAAATCCTTATAACACTCTCTAATAAGTAAACTATAAAAGATTTATCCCTGTAGGCATAAAGAATACCAATAATAATAACATATATATTTTAAACTAAATCAAACAGGTCCCCTTTACATTCTAACCTATAACTTTCTGTAACAAATAAGAGATAGTTTATTTACATATTAAAAAAAACCCTTTAAATCCTTGTCTTAAAATCCTGGTGCCAAAAAAAAAAAAAAAGATTCCAATAGTACAACCCAAAATCACAACTTATACAATTTAACCCTGATCAAATAAGTCCACTTTAAACTCCATTTTCTTATTTTTAAAAGGCTTGACTTTCATTCAATCCCTTCTTCAAATAAAGTCCCACATGTTGATCTCTTATCATTTCCTCCCTGTCTGTTTTCAGGAACAACTTTAAAGATTTAGTACTTCCCTTCTGTGAATCCAGAATAAGGTAACTCTCAAAGTCATTCTTCTGATTTATAATTTGAATGTCCCCTTTAATTGTTAAACATCAACCAGTATACTTTGTAGGTCTGATGTAACTTCTTTCTTCATATCACTCTTGCAGTCAAACACTTTTAAGTCCATTTTCAAATCCACAATGTCTTTTTCCATATCTTCCATATCACCTTTATAGTTTGGCAATTTTTAAAAATCCATTTTAAGATCCCTATTCAAATCATCCTCAGCCTCTGTTTTATCCAATAGAATCCTTTTTTCTTCTATATCCTCTATTAGATCCCCTTTGAAAGTATCAGAAAATTTTAAAAGTCCTGAGTACATTGTTCCCAAACAGACTTTATTTTTCCTATAGTAAAAAAATATTCCTCTATTATTTTAGTTGGTATCTTCTCCTTTAATTGCTCTCTGGTTCCCTCTAGCTAACCTTCAAAGCCCAGTCTTATCTTTTGCTTATTTTCAAAGTCAAAAGTTTCCCACAGTAAGGTTTCCTACAATTAATTCCAAAATCATCAGCTGTATTTTTATAAAATTTGAAACAGTTCATAAGAACTATTCTTTCAAATCCATCTGGCCCTTTAACTGTCCACAATCAAGATTCTAAACTCCTTTTTGCTGTTTTCCCAAAGTTAATTTTTTTCTTTTTAATCTCTAAACTTACTTAAACTTCCTTTCTTCAAGGATAGAAGGAAATACTCCCTGTGGGTAGCAACTTGCCCTTCAGAAGGTTTTTAATTTCCAAATAAATTGATAATAAGTAGTAATTGTCAATTAAAGAGAAAGTGCATGCAAATCTAGTGTCCTTTTGAAGGCTCTGAACTGTGGCTTGGGCTCAATGTTGCCTGCAACTCCCAGAGCGCTCAACCCGCTGGAGATCACTATTTTGCAATCTCTTCACAGGGAGCCTCTGTAAGGAGTACTTACGGGTGATCCAGTCATCTCCTTTATCAGGAGATGGTTCGGAAGAGCTGGACCCTGCACTGGCTTCTATTATCTGCCGCAGCCATCAGCTCCACGAAAATGGAGCCATCTTCAAACTGCCATTACTCCCCTGGAAGTCCCCCAAAATAACCCTTTGTTGTTACTATTCATTGCGAGCCTTAACTCATGTTGAGCATTTTCTTCCTGACCCAATCTTTGTATATTCAGGCAATTCCCTGATATCCTGCTTTTGCTATATGCCTCTTTTTCCATTTTTTTAACTTGTCCTTTTTATTTCTCAAGTTTATCAGGGAGTTCTTCATGCAACCATGCCAATCTCACCAGTGTCTCCCCCCTCCCCCCTTCTTTTTGTTTCCTCTTTGGTATTAATTGTGTTTGGGCCTTGAGGATCTCATTTTTCAGGATTTGTCAACTCTTCTGAATTGTTTTTCCTTCAGGATTTCTATCCATGGAATCCTGCCTACTTTTTAGTCTGTTGAGATCAGCTCTCTTAAAATCTAGAATACTAATTTGACTACTTTCAGTTCTCCCTGCTTGAAATGCAGCAAACTCTAGAATTACATGGTCATTATCTCTCAAGATCCCTACCAATTCCACTTCTTTGACTACTTCCTCCCTAGTAGTAAGTATTAAGTTCAATATACTGGTCTTCTAGTTCCCTTCTCCACCTTTTCGTCAATGAAATCATCTGCAAGGCACGTCAAGAACTTGTAGGATCTCCTGCTTGATGCAGAATTTGATTCCCAGCTGATATCAGGATGATTGGAATTCCCCATTATCACAATGGTGTGTTTCATGGATACCTCGGCCATCTGGTTTGTGAAGACTTCATCTGCATCTTCTGCTCATTTGTGTGGTCTCTAGTACACACCCACAACAATGTCATTTTTGTTTCTTTCTTCCCTAATATTAATCCAGAAACTATTAGCACAGTTTTCATCTTTGGCATCATGCATTACCATACAGATGTAGTCATTCTTCACATATAATGTGATTCCATCTCTCCTTTTGTTGGGTCTGTTTCTTCTGAACAAATGATATACTTCTAGTACAATGTTCCAATCATGAGATCCATCCCATCAAGTTTCAGTTATACTGACAATATCATATTTGCCCTTCTGTATTAGAGCTTCTAGTTCTACTTCTGCCTGTTTGTTGTTCTGCCTGTTTGTTGCCCATACACTGTGCATAGGTGTACAGGCATCTGAGTCCTTTAGTGATGTCTTTAAGTTTCCCTCCTGCATCTCCTTGCGTATTCTTAAGTGCTCCTTCCTTCTTTGTTGCAAAGTTTGCTACCTTTGGTCTTATGTTTTGGGGGTGGTTCTAGGTAATGGTCCCCCTCTATAATAGGCAGAGGGAATGGCCTACAGCAGTGTTTCTTAAACTTTTTTCTCTCAGGACCACTTCCTACTTTTAAAAATTATGGAGGATCCCAAAAGAGTTTTTGTTTGTATGGGTTATATTTATTGATATTTACCATATTAAAAATTAAAATTGATGCATTTGCTGCCACTTCTTACAATTGTTTGATGGCATTTTAGTATCATATTATTTTTCAACATAGACTGGCAAATAATTTTGATTTTGTGGAGCCCTAAGAAAGTCTTGGGGTACCCATAGGGGTCCTCAGGCCACACTTTAAGAAATACTGGCCTACAGGGACAGGAGGAAAAGCAGCTACCAAGACAATGGTCAGATAAAAGAAACCTGAGCCTGGGGCAGAACTGTAACCTAAGAAAATGTCTCAGACAAGACCCTCCCTGGTTTTCCCCCCTGGAGGGGGGAAGTACATTCAGATTTGCAAGATTCTGTTACTATATCTTTATAATAAAAAGCAGTACTGACCTGCATAACTTTGGTTTCCTAGTTTGGTTTATCTTGAAGGGATGACATCCTCCCCCTCTAGTTTAAAGCCCTCCAGATAACCTTAGCAAGATGTCTTCCGAATTGGAAGTATGTATGAAAACATCACCTGTGCCCCAAGTTCTTTTGCTTTCATGCCTAGCTACTCATAGTCTTTCAATATTCTTCCCAGGCTCTTTCTGGCAGTATTATTTGTTCCAACACAAAACAGAAGAAATAGTGGTTAGCAGACTTGATTATTTGGGTCAGCTTCTCTATATCTTGTTATATCTTGAATCTTCACACCTAGGAGACAATATACTTGCCTTGATAGCATATCTGGTCTGCAGACTGCTGACTCTTCTTCTTAGTAGGGAGTCACCTATCACCACCACACACCTTTTCCTCTTTGGGGGAGCCATTGGATTCCTTGCCTCTGTGACAGCCTTTTTGTCCTTCCTATTACTGTGATACTTGGTGAAATTCCTTCTCTACAAGTCTGTGAGTCTTACTTCAGGTAGAGGAAGTTAGAATGTACTATTTTCCCTATTCTTCATCATCAGTTTACCCAATTCCAGTCCTGCCAGGAGTGTTAATTAAAAAGCACCATGTATTCAACAGTTTAATAATAATCTTTTGAGCCAATTTTGATGAAGGAATCATGGTCTCCAGTGCTACAGATGAGTTTACATAGTCTATAACACAAGTACAGAGAAAGTGAAAGGAGAGATGACTGGAATCTCCCAGACAGAAAAACAGAAAAAACATTTTTGCCAAGTGTCTTAACCCTTTGCTGTCAGGTCTATTTTCTGTGACTGAGAATTAAGATTATTGTTATACAAATATGGTCAGTTTGGGCTGGGGGGATTGGAAAGAGAAAAAGCTGAGCAAGTTTATATATCTCTGACATACCTCCAGTTCTGGTGCATGCTTCATAATTTTAAGAGCAATATAACAGCCAATTGAATGTCCAATAAGTACAAGCTTGACATCTTTTGGCACATTTTTCCGGAGGAAGTTCAGTTTGTGTTCAACTTGCCCGTGAAGCCCAAAAACATCATCTGTTTCATTCGAAACCATCTCTATAAACAAGCAAAAAAATAATAATAAAATTATTTCCTTTGCTTTGAAGATGATTCATTGCATTCACTGTAGCTCTTTACAACTGCTTTCAAAAATAATCCAGAAATTACTCTGAGATGACATTACTCATAAACCTTCCTTTGGTAATAATTATTTAATGTTGTTCAATTATTTGTAATAAATAGGGTACTACCAATAAAACAGCAGCACTAATTAAAACTTATTTAAATGCACAGTACAGTACAATCAACCAAAGACAGATTGTAATATACAAGATTTTAAAATCTTCCAGAAAGTCAACAGAGGGGACCATCCTGAATTCCTGGAGGAGGACAAAAGAAAGATGTAGAATTACCATAAAGAACACCCCAATCTCTGTTTTTACTGTAGGAACAGAAAACAAAGCCATGGATGCTGATCTTAAAGATTAGAAAGCCCATATAATGAACTGAATCCTGAAACCAAAAGGCAGCCAATTTACTTTTTAAGGTAACAGTTGGCAATAAATATGTTGCTGGAGTATCTTTACAACAAAGACTCTCAGCCATTTGCATCTTAAGTCCTATTCTATTAAGGAACCAGAATCACACCATTTTAGAAATGGTTTATTCAGAGAAATGGTATGTCTCAGCCATTCAAAGTTTGGAAAATATTAATATTATTTAGGACATAAATGGTTCTCAACCTTTTGTATTTTATGTTCCACTCCAACACTGCATAGAACTTTCTTTTATATCCAACATGATAGGGATTTTTTTTTCTAGAAAGATCATATATATATATATATATGTTTATAAGCAGTCTATTATTATGTTTATTACTTACAGTAAGTTTTAAAAGCCTGAAAGTTTCAGTGACTTATTTAGTGTCCCATCTACTCTACTTCTGAATCCTATCTGTGATAGGTATGCATTTAGTTGAGACAGACAGACAGAAACTTTATTTTGGTCATTGACCAATAAAAATACATTCTATAAAACAAACGAGGTAAAATTATCCCCTAACATCAATAACTGTTGGCAATCATCTATGGGTGAAGCTTACACATAATGTAGCAGAATTTTGCTACTTTTAGAGAAATAAATTTATCTTGGTTGTTTAACAGATAATGCAAATAAAAATTATCACAGTGCTCTGGAAATTTGGCAATCATCTATGGGTGAAGCTTACACATAATGTAGCAGAATTTTGCTACTTTTAGAGAAATAAATTTATCTTGGTTGTTTAACAGATAATGCAAATAAAAATTATCACAGTGCTCTGGAAATTTAAATAAAAGGGGGGTAATCACCAGGTGGCAAATGTCCCTGTAGAACTGACAATACAAAAGAACATGGCTGTGGTTTCTATGGCACCCATGTCACAGGAGTAACTTAGTTGAGAACCATCTGTTTTAAAGCAAGGGTGGCCAATTTTCTTGTGGCCAGAGTTTACATTTCTCATTATTTAAAAAAACGTTCAACCTCCAAGGGTTACAGGGTACGTGGCCAGTGCTGCAATGGTATCACCATCACGGATAAGCCAAAATGTAAGTGAAATGGGCAGCGATATAAATTTAATAAATAAAATAAAATACTCATGGTCTTGGAGATATTCACTGTATAATATAATTTCAAATGCATTATTCCACTCTGTGCCCTTTTCCCCATGAAATAAAGTTTATTAGAAGAAAAAAAATGCTTCTGAAAATCTAATTCAGATATTCTCTTCTTTTACATATGGCAAACCTTCACTCCACTTTAACAGACTATATTCAGTGTGGTATAAATGGGTGGAGATGGGCGGGGGAGAAATGGAATGAATGAATGAATGAATGAATGAATGAATGAATGAATGAATGAATGTCATGCTAAGATCCAGGTTTAAATTCAGCCACCAATGAGAGGAAGACAGAATAATAGAATAGAGACACCATATTTCTGTTTAGTATTCTTCTTCATAGGTTGCTCGGATGAAACAGTAAAGGCGGGATGACATTCACTATTTAGAGTTTCTCAGAGGCTATATTGCACAGGGTTGTCTATGGTAACGTGTTTGGCACCATGCTGAGCACATGAAGAACCAGTTATTGAATGCGCTCTCATACGGTCCCCATATAATTAGTTGTTTTTTAAAAAATGCCACATAAAAAGTAATTGTTGGGTATAAAATGATAATTGCTTCAAGAAAACAGGATCTTCTATTGTTTATTGTTTAATGTTCAATGTTTAGCCTTTTGTTTAAATCTTAAACAAATTAAACCAGGGATGGCCACAGAAAAGGCTTTGAGAAAGCCAATTAATACTGTTGGTAAAGCTGTTCTTAGAAACATCCTGGCATGATTTATGCTTTGTTAAATTAAAAATGGAAGAGCCAGAAAGGAGACTGAGAAAGACAGAAATACATGATACATCCCCTCTTCTCTACCCCCTCAAATTAAAAAAAAAATGAGAGCAATCTTTTGCCAATCACATTTTTAATTTTTTCACTTGTTATACAGGTAATGGAAAATAAAAAACTAAGTTCTCTAGCAAAGGCCTAAGGCCAAAGCACTGTTTTCAGATGAAGATCTATTTTTAGGCCAAGTTGCTCTGTTTTTTTTTTTTTTTTGTTTAATCTAGTCCATAGCCAAGTATTGTGTTGTAAGCTGACCATCTAATTCATCCTATTAAAAGTATTGTGCTGAATTATATGAAACTCTCAAGTAACACAAGATAATTTTGATGATGATCATTTCTCATGTGTCTTTCCTTTGCCTTGCACATTCAACAATTTCATTTATCTTTCAGATAAGATATGAAAAAGTATATAGAACACCAGTCAGTAAAACATTCTGCAGCAAGTGGGTTGCTACAGCTTGATCACATTCATCAAAGGCGAGTCCCACCAATTGTTCCACTTTTATGAAAAAGGGTGACAGATATGGTAATAAATTACAGATGGAGTCCTCATTACAGATGAAGCCCTTGTTGGAACTGAAGGCGCTCAGGATCACAGTTGAACATTATAAACTATTTTCTACAAACACAGAATCATCCTAAAAGAATGTTTTAATATTAGGGGTTTTGTATTCACACCAAAGCTCAAAGTATGTCCAGCATGCAACAAACAGCTAGTTCAAATCTTTCAGTATGGATATCACGTAATCAGAGTACTGTGCACTGGCTAGCAGTTACTAGGGTTGTGTGAAGCTTTGTAGGACTGATCTAATTTGAAGGAGTTTTAGTTGAATAACTCCTTCAAAACAAAACTGTTAAATGATTTGAGCATCAAACTGAATTGAGATTCTGAGAGATTCAAAGGAATTCAGATATTTGGTGGACTTTATGGCTTTGTAATGTCTCAAATTCTGCTGTAGCATTTCTTCCATATGTGGACAAAGTTGAAGGGAGGGGTTGACTGGTATGATGGGCTCTCTGTACTAATATGACTTGCTGATCAATGAGCTTTTCTGCCTCTACTATATCACTTTCAAAGCATTTCAGGAGTGCTGCTCTGTTATTCATAATATCTCTTCTGCTATAATTTGTTTAGGCAGGTTTGCATGGAAAAAATAAGAGAGCTATTCAGATTTATTCTGTGCTTTTGAAGACTTTGCCATGTCATATGACCTTGTACATTTTGCATAATCCATACTGTTTTATCCATATTCCTTCTTAATTCTCAAACCGTTTTTCTTTTTTCTTTTTAAACCTATAAAGCTTTTATTAGATATAATCTGCTGAAGCATTACACACACATACTCACATCTTCAAAACTATTTTTCTGATCTATGGAATGGTCTCTGTTCAGCTCTGCATCCATTCTGTATACAGTTGTATTGTCCTTTCCTCATCTCTGGTATAGTGATTGAAGGGTCTGGACTAGGAACAGGGAGACCCAGGTTCTCTTAGGCACAGAAACCAGCTGGGTAACTGTGGGTCAGTCACACTCTCTCAGCCCTAGTCTGGGAAGATGAAAAACATCCTGGAAGAAGGTAATGGCAAACCACTTCCACAATGTTGCCAAGAAAATTGCATGGACCTGCCCATGAAGTTGCCCAAAGTCAAAGTTGATCTGAAAGAATTTTGGATGCACATCTACTTCACAGACTATTCTCCATGCATGCCTGTAGCAGTTCTTGCAGAAAACTGATCAGAGCAACGAGGTAGTACGTGAGGATGAAAACGTATTACATTAAAGAAAGGAGGTGTTACAACAGGGATCCACAGAGGAAGCAACTCTCCATCGAATAAAGGAGCAAGCTCAGTGGAGAAGAGCAAACAGCAAAAGCAAGAGACATGGTTTAGAAGAAGAGGGGGAAAAAAGATTGCAGAACAGAAGACAATACAGTGGATCTCTGAAGGGCAGACATGCAGCTGCAACTTACAAGAACAAAAGAAAGGACTGCTGGTAATTGATTATTCATTCCTGTTGCAAAATCATAATAAATGTGTGCCAACCAGACCCACCAGCTAATTTTACGTGGTATCCTCTAAGAGCAATATAACCTAACTAATGATGTGGAGACAAGTTATGCTTCATGGAACAGCTACAACTGTACCAGAAATGGATTTTGAAGCTCTAGGATGGAAGCTCAAGAACTTGAGGCCTCAAATGCCTTTCTCCATCCCTCCAATCCATGAAAGAGGACTGGAAAGAGGAATACTATGTAAGAATGACTAGCTAAGCAATTATGTCAACAGGAACTGTTTGGTTTTTGGGACTATGGTCTGATGGGCTGCTGACACAGGATGGATTGCACTTCATGAAAACTTTGTTGGTGGTGGTTTTTGCCAAAGCATGGCAAGCTTGATCAGGTGGACTTTAAGGTGAATCCTGGGGGGACTGAAGACAAAATACAATGCAGTTGTAACTTTAGATAAAGACTTGTACACTGTAGAACGACACTGTTGCTCAGTAGGGACACTGAGAATTCTGGTTCAGCAACAGCTGAAGATTCCCCATTCCTGATATTCCAATTTAATCAGCTTCCTATCATGGATAGGGGAAAGCTTTTGAGAGTCACAACGATAAACAC